GAGAAAAACCCGAGGGGGACAAAGGGGTGGCGAGAACAACAGCATGCGGTGTTTTGAACAAAACATGGAGTAGTTACCGCCGGAGCTATAGGGCTCAAGGACTTCTTGGTGTGAAGGCTCCTTTATCCATTGAGGTGGATTTGCTGCCCAAAATGGCAGTCCCTACCCACTGTAATCTCTAGTTACAAAGATGCTGAAGCTCTGGGGAGTTAATTTGTTTTTATCTTGCCAAAGAGCTTTAGTAAAAAAAAAAAAAAAACCTTTTTTTTAATCCTCATATCCCTTCCAATACTGAGATATAGTAGCAGTTATGTAGACAGTTATGTTGACATCAGCTTAAGTTTTACGTTTGCAAGGTCCATATATTTTTGGTAGCAATGGCAGTAATGCAAGTGATAGCTCAATAATAGAAAAAAAGAACGGTTCTTGATGCTTGGAGCATCTTTAAACCCTGCACCCAAATGAGAAAGAGATAAAAACAACCTAGTCAAAATGGCTTAGCTTGAAGGCGCATTTTCTGTGTTACTGGATGACAAAATAGTTAGACATTAATGCAGTTTACAGTAAGACACCCTTAAGTTATCAGTGAGGTCGGTGTGATGCCTGACAGATTTAGTGTAAATATTTATAGACTTGGCCTACTAATTATGTCGGTGGAAAAATTGCAGTATTAATGCTGTCACCTCTCCATGTCTCTACCTGCCAGCATGCTCCTAACTCATAGAAATATTCTGAAGTTAGAAAGTATGGCACATAGAAGAGATCATTTACATTTTTAATAAGGGATTAAGTTATCTCCAGCAGTAGTTTCCAGCCTGTGGCCCACGGATGTATGGAGGCCTGTGGACTATTCCCAAGGGAACTGTGAAAAAAGACAGAAAAAGAGAGATTTGTGCGGGTACATAGACATCCCTCACTGTGAAATTGTTAAAGGGCTATGCACCACTTTTGGCAAAGGTTTAGGAGTCCACACATGGAGGAAAATTTGAAAGCCACTGATTTACCATTTTGTGGAAAGGACTATGAATAATTTCAAAATACCAAGCTTCCACACAGTAAATGGTCAGACTGCTGTTAGTCCTGCCAGACTCAGGCTGTCATAAAAAATCATGGACCCATAAAGCACTGAAGGATGTGCTTAACTTAAAACACACACTGATCCCTTGAAGTTAGTGCCTGTCACCATACTTCACTGGTTTGCTGAATAAGGACCACTGGGAAATTTAAAACAGAAGGCAAGGGCTACTATAGTGTTGCAAACAGCTTTGCAGATGCCCGATCATCTCCTATGACTGAAGATCTAATTATGTGAATCTACGGTTCGTGTTTTTCTGTTTCAGTTTGTTTATACTAAGAGACTCCAAAGGTCTGAGGCGCTGGTGGTTTCAGTTATTACTGGCTGCCAACCCAAAGGATATTGTCATTGCAGTTGTAGCCAATTTAGGAGACTTGCTTTTGGTTGCATTGATAGCTCTCCTGATTTGGGATCCGAGAGACTGCGGTTCCTGTTCTGGCGCAAAGTGAATCTTTACAAGCTGTGCAAACAGAACTGAAATGCTGTGACCGGTGGTCACATTTATGCGGCTTGCGTGCATGCCTTTTGCTTGACTTGCAGTTTAGCAAACTGAGACGGGATGATCAGGAGCTTTCGCATTCTCTTTTCTTCTGTAAAATAGCATCTTATTCCACATATATTCCTAATGAAGTCAGTGAAGTTAAGGTGCTAGTCTAGGCTGTCCGAATCTAGGCACGTTGACAGGGTGCCTTGGTGATGTTGACTGACAAGTGGCTGCTTGCAGGAGTTGGAAATGGGCATTTTAGAACTGGGACAGGGCACTGCTGAAGGCCCCTCACAGGGTTACTGTAGTAGCTCTCAAAACAAGTTGGATGGATTAGGTGCTGCTGGCCGGCCACGTGGGCCACCCACGCGGGTTTTGGAAGATCTCACCCCAAGGGTGTGAAAGGCAGATCTCCCCTTGCCGCTAGGTAAAGGAGTCCTCACAGTGGACCTAATCCAAAGCCCATGAAAGGCAACAGGCTTTCCGCTGCCTTCGATGAGCTCTGGACCAGACCATACATAAGGCTCGCAATTATTTTCAATTCCCAGCTGCATTTGTCTGTTGTAAACACTTCATCTGGACTCGGCACCTCAGTAAATCACAGCACAGAATAACCTGGTACAAGTGGAGTGTGTGGTTTTGAAAAAGAACGTTAGGAGGGGAAAAATGCAACTCTCTCTCTTTAAACTGTCTCTTTTCTGTATTGTTACCTTGACAACTCTGCTGCTGTGTTTCATCTTTGGTGGGACTTAGCTGTGGTGGAATAAGGGGGACATCCATGTGCCTTTCCACATCTACTCCGGCTCTGCTTCGCAGGCACGTGTCAGGAACAGGGCACCTCCAGCCACAGAGTGCATGTTCGTTGCCTTGACCTGGCTGTTATCTGGAAATGATTACAGATACTAAGAACTGGGACCCATTCTGATTAAAGGTATAACATTATATCTTCTATTTCTTTTCCTTAAGCCAGCACCAAGGCAATGTTAATTTTCTTTAAAAGGAGATGCAAGGTGCTGAAAATATTTTTAAAGGTTAGGACAGCTGGAAAGCAGAGAGGGATGAAAGTACTCAAAATAGGGGTATTATTTTTAGTATAAGCAGATACAGGAGTATGTGTCAAGATTAGGATACAGTTCTGATGGGCTGAACTGAGTCTAGAGATGCTAAAAATATGCTTTCTTTTCCTCACAATTTTTAGAAGAGACAGAGGCAAAGGTAAGAGGAGAGTGGCGGTGAACTGAAATTTTAATTCCTGTGTTTCCTTGCCTGCTGGGGCTGGGCAGAGCTGACCATTAACCTAGGCACCCGTGACCACTGACGCTAGCAAAGCGTTAAGAGGCAGAGCTGAGGTGTTGTGTGTGGGAATGGGATCCCTCCCACCCCTTTTCCTCTTGCCAAAGAAAATCCCTACCTCTCTCTCTCTCTCTATATATATATGTTATATACATAAAACAGAAATGGCTAGCTTTGTAGCTGCAAATGCAAGACATGCAGACTGCTGGGCTCAGTGCAGAGGGGGCTGTACGTGTATGAATGTGTGCGTAGAGAAGGGGGCTTTTAATGCAGAACACATGTGTTTTCAATTGCTATCTGGAGCCAGACCAGTAGCTGTAACTTGGCCTGACAAAGCCTTATTGAAGTACAGACAGTGTGGTTTCAAAGCAGTTAGAAAAAGAACGGGAATGCTGTTCAGGAAATTCTTCAGGCATGGGCAGGGACTTGGCTGCAGTTCTGCTGCTGGAAAATCTGACAGGGGCAGCTCATGAACACAGGCTAGGCCTCGTGCTGCTCTGCAAGCAGCCCCGCGTCTTCCCCGGCGCCTCCAGCACACCGCCCCGCTGCCTGTTTTTCCTCTGGCCACCGAAAGAGAGGTAAGAGCTGGGTGGTTCTTTCTTGGCGCAGCCGGTTTGCTTTGCTCTTCTTTTGTGCTCGGGCAGAAGAGGCTCCTTGCTTGCAGACCACTGTTTAGAGAAGAAAAGTTGAGGATACGTTGCTGTGGCATATTGGCTGCAGGACTGGGCTAGTTTGAGGCTGGGTGGTGGTTTCTGGCTAACTTTTGTTCAATAGGAATTCTGCAGGCAAAGCAACTCGTGCACTGTGGCTCTGGCTGTGTGCACGCACGGTAACTGAATAATTCCCAACTTTTTCATTTTTGGAAGTAAGTGTGAATGCAACCCTCAAGCCACTGAAAGGTTTGCTTTGCACGATGTGTCACTTACAGATTTTTGTGAAATCTCTCTCTCTCTCTCTCTCTCTCTCTCTCTCTCTCTCTCTCTCTCTCTCTCTCTCTCTCTCTCTCTCTCTCTCTCTCTCTCTCTCTGTATATATATGTATCACTGTAGTTGTTTAATGGGTTGAAAATGTATTTGTCTAGGGGGGTATTTGGCTGTTACTAACTATCCCTGCCACCTGGTATGGCTAAATTGTTAAGAGAGGCAGTAGCTCAGGAATAATCATTGCCTTGTGATTTCTCTGCATATTTTTTCTGTGTTGTATAAAGCACTGGCAAACTGCAGCAGACAGCACAGTCAGGAACCATGTAGAGTAGATTAGAAGGAAAAACATTAATTTAGTGGCTGGGGTTTTTGCAACTTCTCTTCTGATTTGCTTTTCTTTCCCCAAATAACTTAAGAAACATTTCTGATAAAAAGCTCTTCTCCCTTTAGGAGCTTGCCAGATTTAGGCAGTGCTCTCTCATCCTTTTCGTTGCAGCATTAAAGCTTGTCTTGCTTTTGCAGAGATATCAACACCTTATATGGCAGGCTGGTGTTTGGAAGTTCGGGTACAGCGTGTTTGTCAAGGCTGATGGAGGTGTCAGGAGGAGGCTGCCTCTCATAGCTTCAGAAAGTTCCCTGCCTCTGCCAATGTCTCTTCCTCAGATTTTCACAGCAGTGTTATCTGATATATTGAAAATGCTTTTTATCTATTTTTATTTTTATTTTTGGTGAGGAATGAATTAAGGATAATGAATTGTACAGTGAGACAGCGCTAAATGTTTCTGGCTGAATTCGTGGGAGCTAGACCCCACAGTTTGCTTTTTCTGTGCTTGGCAAAACGCATGTACAGGACTCAAATGGTCATGCCTTTTGGTGATCCAAAGCATTCAGTGACAAGGTTAGGTTGGCCACCAAAATTGATCAGATCCACTACGGGGAAGGGCCAGAGCTTCTCCTGATACTACTGGTGAAGTGTGCTTGTAGGTAGCTCTAGGGGATGCCATGAGGATTAGGCAGTGAGGAAATCCTAGCTGGACACAGTGGTTTGGATCCTTACTGGAAATATTAGTGCTGGGGAGCTGAAACAGGTTGGACTGGGACAAGTCAGGACTTTGTGGGTTTGGAACGCATGAAGGACATCCTCCCCATCCTCTCCAGAGGAGTGGATGTATTGGAGTGTTTTAGGGGATGATGGGGGTAAAGGGAATGAGAGGAAGGGCAGAGATGAGCTGTGAAGAGAGAGAAGTATGGTGAAAACGAAGAGGCTTGATAAGCTCAAAGTTATTTTTGCAGGAATTGCAGCTACAGTGAAAATGCTCTGTTAAATGAAGGACTCCAAATGATCTGGACTGCTCAAGCCTTTGTAGGCTGCCGTCTGACCCTACACACTTGTAGTTATATTGCTTCTTTCAGCAGTCATTAATTTAGACACTCAGACCTTTTATCTTTTTTGCTGCTAGTTATATGCTTTTGGGGGGAGGGAGAAGAGTCAACTTCATGTTCCTGCCTCAGAACATGCACCATCGCAGCTCTCAAGTCTGATCATCAATGCTGAAGGCCCAGAGAGACAAGCAGCCTGGAGTATGTCCGTCTTAGCAGCAGCCAAGACTCAGCTGTTGTACCTGGCTCTAGGAGTTCACCTGCCTTGCGTTCCTGGCATGACCTGAGCACCACCGGTTTCTCACCAGACTGGAGATCAACATGGGTCACTGCAAGACCAGACTGCCCAGCAGCTGGTACTGTGCGCGCAGGGCAGTTTGACGTGCCAGCCCTGATGGACGCCGCCAGGAGGGACTGGCGGGACTCGTGAGCGTGAGTGCAGGCATGGCAGGGGAGTCCCTTTGCAGCGCTCTGGCTGGATTTGGTCTAGGTGAGGGCGTTTTTCCCTGACTCTTGACAGCTGCTCCTGGGCCTCCTGCTGCCAGAGGTGTCATCTCAGCAGCTCCAGCCAGCTCCCATATTGAAGCTTTCCTTTGTAACCACGAGGACTGAAGTGTGTGTGCATGCATGTGCATATGTGGCCAGAGTATGTTATGTATTTAAAGTGAAACTGGATATTCTCGTGATTTTTCAAGCATATAGATAAGAGAGCTGTAAACACACCTTAATATGTATATGCCTCCTCCTGGTCCTGCCCAAGAACAAACTAGAACCCAGGTATATCTGTGCAAGTGATAAAGTGGATAAGCTCAATGTATGCACATATAAGGAAGATGGAGAGGGATATGCAGCAGAACGAGTTTTAACTTGTGCTAGCGTAGATCCAGGATGACTGTAGAGATTGCACTCTGGCTGCTGGAATGTGCTCAAGCCCACAGTTCTCCATTTTTGCCATGCCTGTTGAATTACAGCCATGCAAATCCATGTTATGATCCTCTTTTGCACATTCACACAAGCCATGGTCTCTTCTTTTGATATGGTGGGGCAACGGAATGCAGTTTAGGGGCAGAAGTCTGAAAAGTATCACCTCCAGAGCTTGCGTTCTGATTCACGCTCCGCTGATTATATACCTCTTGCTGCTACCACAGCCTCCTCTAGTCACACCTGCTGCTCAGTATTTTAGTCTAGCTCTCATATTTGCTCATCCTGCTTTGAGACACTCCAGTGGGAGAGAGCATTTATAAACCTGGCACAAACGGACACAGGCTTATGATTGCTTCACATCATCTGAGTAGTGCAAAGAAACCCATGTGTGAATGCAGCAAATCCAGTATGATATTTCCATGCAATGTGAATATATTGCGAGAAATTGTGGGGCATTTCATGAAAGAAATTTTTTGCAGACTAGTTTGATACCTAAGAGAACTCACTGCAGAAATGTTTTCTTCCTCCTTAACTTTCATTTCAACTTCCTCCTTAATTCTGGCAAAGAGAAATATCAAGACAGGGTAACTTTATTAAGAAAGACATCTAAAAGTTAGAAGAAACACTCAGAAATGATATAAGAAAACAAACATGTTTCTCTTCTCCAGAGAAGAGAGGCAATAGTAACATCACATTGCCCACAGGCTCTTAGAGCATCTTAGAATAAAATACCACTTTTGTTTTAGGAGATAATATTCAGAGATGGAGCTACCTATTGTTTCATTTTGCTCTAGCAAACTAGAGTTCTTGCTGTAAGCGCTCCTTGAATGCAGAACAGTGACTTGGCAGAGTGGAAGTCCTATGCTGAGCTTTTTGTTCAGTCCATCTGCTCGAAGATACTGGTTTGTAAACTTAGGCTTTTGCAATGCCCTTATAATCAGGGAATTTTCTTGTTGAAATGCTATCATCCACAGCTTCTCAGAAAATTACATGAGATCTCACAATGTTTGAGTTAGGGGGGGGCAGCTCTCAAGATGCTGAAGTCAGGGGACAGCCTGGAGCATTGAGGGATCTGGATTAGAGATGCTTCCTCAGGATAGGAATCCCCAAGGTCTCCCCAGCTGGCTGTGCTGAGTGAGTCCAATTTCCTCAAGGTACTTCAGAGGTGGATATGGAAGAAGAGGTATTTCCTAGTGGATTAAGCAGAACGTGTGCTTATAGACCATGCAGAGAAAAGTTCGGTCATGTGCTTACGCTTGCCGGAAGCAGCTTAGATATCTGTGAAAACACTGCATGTGATGGAAACTAGTCAGAAAAGAAGAAAACATTCCATTAGAAAATAACATTTTTTTATCTGACTGGCCATGTATCATGCTTACGACACTTGGGAAACAGCACTGAGCAATGATGGCCTTCCCAGCTTGCAGGAGAGCTGTTTCCTGCGCGGAGGGATGGGGAATGCTGACAGAAGGCAGTGGACATGCAGAGAGTAACGATTTCAGTTTTAGGAACACCCACTCTGAGGAGTGGGCATGCGCTGGCACAGACACCAAAGTAGAAGAGTCTGAGTTCATGGCTTAAGCTGTAGAAAAGGGATGTAAGATTTAACTACCTCAGCAAGTATTTCATCCTTCTGTCCAGTCCCCACTGCTCAGGCGTTGCTGGCCAAGCCACAGGTCAGAAGTCATTTTCCTGGGCCAGATCCTTTTATGGAGGCTCGTGTTGTAGTCTGACCCACGTGTGGTTCCATAAATCACTTCTGGTTCATGAAGCTAGTGGATTAACAGGCCTGGAAGCGTCAACCTTGAGAGAGAGTTTTATGGGGAGTGGAAAGGCAGAACGTGTTGATAGATGGCTTGCTCTTCATGCCAAATTTTGTTCTCAGTTATGCTCCAGAAATATCTGTTCCTTTGGACCTGGTGGATAATACACACTTTCGAGTCAGAGAAATTAAAGAGCGTGAATCTGCGGAGCGTTTGGAACTAGCAAAAACATTACCTCGGTGATATCACAGAGAGCACCTCTGCAACTTTTTTTTCTCATTTCAGCCCAAAGGAAAAGGTATCTTTCAAAAAGCAAAGGGAGAAAGAGAAGAGGGTGTCAGTAGCACTGCCACACAGGGCAGGCTGACAGGGAAGGCGTAGGTTTGAGGCCCCGGGCCACCTCTTGTCACCCTGCTCCAGGCCAGCTATGGGTGGGTACTCCTCGTTTTTTGGTGGCAGCTGCTCTGCCTTGCACGTTCGGTGGCATGCAGCGAGGCAGCTACCTGAGCTTCTGCGAATACTCTGGCATGGGCTTCTAGCGCCAGCCTCGGGCTCAGCTATGTTTGCGTTATGCAAACTGCTAATTATGGACAAGTGGCTCTTTTGCTCCCCGTAAGTACAGGGTTCGCTCAGGGCTCATGGTTTCTGCATAAAATTTATGGAAGTCAATTAGTGGAAATAAATGTTGCCTTCCCTAAACTGTTGCCTTCGCCCACCTGCACTACAGATGCAGCCCCCCGAAGGCCGTTTCTGTTTGGAAGCAGAGCGAGATCCGTCCGTCTGTCCGCTCTGCCCCTCCTACATGCTGGCGGCAGGAGGGCTGTCTGGGGCCGGTAATCCCTGCCGGTGGCTGGCTGTGCTCAGACCTTCAGTGGCTCCTGCTGCATGCAGCCCAGTGCGGGCAGGGACAAGCGCGGCTGCGGCGGCGGTGGCGGCTCACTTGCTGAGCGTGGAGCAGGGCCGTGGGAACTGGCTCACGCGGGGCTACGGAAACGTTACAGCTGTGGTATCTGCAAGGGAGACATGTTCATCCGTCCTTGTGAATAAAAAAATACGTTGGCTTGATAAATCGGTGCTCCAGGATGTATGTCCTGAGTGCGAAGCGCTCTGCCCATGAGCCGGGACCTCGGCACTGTTCTTGCCAGGGCAGGAGGATGTGGTGAAAGCAAGCAGGTAATAAAAGCCTGCTGTAACTAGTGGGGTATGGTGTGATTTTTGGAAACTCGGTGTCGATCTTGATTTGTGACACCTTTCAGCTGAGACTGGTTTCAGGTTTTCTAAAAGAAAGTAGTGAAGCTTTGTTGCCAGAAATACTCGGCGAGCAGGCTGTGTCGATCGGAGGATGTGGGGGTATGACTCTTCTAGTGGTCTTAAAAAAAAAACACAAGTAAATCTTTCTTTTTATGGACCAGATTTAATGTGTGGTGAAGTGAAAAGATGGAAAGCTTTTCTGACTGGACTGGATTTTGTATCAGGCCCTGTTTGCAGTGTTTATGTATAAGGACTTTGTGCACAGCTATTGCGCAAAAACTTATTAGTCATTTTTGTAGCAGCACAAGTTCCTTGGAGAATTACTTGGGTTCCAGGCTATACTTTCATAGTCATGGTAGTGTTATCTGTGGCTAAATTCAGATTTGCCATGCAACCAATACATTTTTCAGTTATAAATGGGCTTGTAAATGTGCTAGTGGTAGTCAATAAGGTGCACATGTGTATTTAAGCCTCATCTTGGAAGGCAGGTACTTTCAAATCTGACTTACTGAACGAGTGCATCTCTTTCAAATTTATACTGTTTTACTATTTTTGTTTCAGTATTATTTTTTCACCACTGTTATGAAATTGTGTGGATGTTCCTAATATAAAAAAAGGCTGTTCCAGCAAAAAAAAAAAAAAAAAAAATCCAGTATAGCAACTCTTGGTCCTTTGCTTAGCTTTCTTTTCTGCAATAATTGAAGAGGAGGGTACGCTGCAAATGAAACCACTCGACATTTTTTCACAGTAATAATATTTTCTGGTGCCTAATTTGCTGCTTATTTCTTTCTAATATTTGAGTCAGGAGAAATTGCCAAAATGTAATGCTTTTCCCTCCCACACAGAGTAGATTATTGATAGCAGATACAGCTTGTTTCTTATAAAGCTGCCTTACAAACCTTCTCATTCGACTCTCTTGTTTAACAGACCTCAGTGCTCTACGTCCATCATTCTGTCTTCTCTTCCTAGAGAACTATAGACATGAGCATTTTCTTTTGGTATTTACAAGGCAGCAGGAAAATACCAGCTAGAAATCATATATAGCTTTAGATGTAGCTGTGTGAGCATATAGAGAGAGAGAGAAAACAGTCCATCTATGAATCCCATGTTATTTTCTTGTTACAAATTTATGCTGGGTTAATAGGTCATGTTCACCATTCATGTTGTGGTATTTTAATTGCTCTATCTCTGTTAGGACAGCTTTGAGCTAAATATTTTATCTGAACCAGAGAAATTCTCAAAATGAGACTGCTGTTTGGATTCAAGTTGCTTCTTGTGGTTATATACTGTTCCTATATAAATCTTTTGATGCCTGCAAAATTTTGTCCCGCTTAGGTATGCCATTTTCTCCATCCTTCCGGCTGCAAGCAATAAATAAATAAATAAATAAAGGTGAGGAGGGAAAGTGAAAGAAAAAACCAAGTTTTGCAATAAGGATGTATTTTGAATGGGGTGTTTCATATTGTTTGTTGATTGGTCAAACCTACTTCATGATTCAAGAGGCTTAGAGATAAAATTGTTCATCTTTTCCAAGGGAGAGGCTGCATTTAATATGTGCTCTCCAGGATCCCCTGTTAAAATATTAGGCAATAAAATCCTTGACTGTACAGTAGTTGCTGTTATAATTTCCCTCAGGAAGTGGAAACCCTGTAATTTACTGTTGTTTAAGACTTCCCTTTGCAGAGTATCAGAATGACTGTAGCCATGCAAAGGCCTGTTTTCCTCTGAGTAGGTATACCTGTTAGTGACCTGGCTCCTCTAGTGCACTCCATGCTGCAAAACCCTCCACACTTTACAGTTAATGACTTAGCAACTGTGAGTGAAAATACCGATGAAGACCAAGCTGGATCTGTTGTGAGCAACTTGCATTGCTCGCCCTTGCATAACCTAAGGGTCTGCCTGGGGTTTGGGTTGTCTTGCAGCGTAGAGATTCCCTAGTTTGAAAAGCAGAAGTGATCCGTGGTGAGCTCGCTTTCGCTGGTGGGAACGGCTCCGTGGTGCAGACGTGCTTTTCTTCTTTCCTGTACTTTTAATGCAAGTTAGCTAAACCGGCGGAGACGACCCATATTAAGAACACACTTATTTGCAGTGTAGCTGTTGGCTTTTACTGACTGGGTATGACTATTTTTACTAATTGGCATAGCCGATCTTCACGGCATTATCTTTAGCTGGGATAGGCTGAGGTTGTAAATGAGGCATAGTTTGTGGGGGGATGTAATAGCCTTTTTTTAGACCAACTGAGAAAACTGGAAAAAAAAACAAGTGAGTGTGGAGGCACACAACGGCTGGCTGAAGCTCATGTTGTTCCAGTTTCAGTTTTACGAGCACGCGAAGCCCCTTCTTCCCCAACGCCAAGCTCAGCCTGGCAGCCGGCTGCACTGGTCCCCAGGGTCTCCTGTTGCGTCCCAGTAGTGCCTGAGTTTGTGTGTTTAGCACTGGGGACTGCGTTTCAGCTCAGAGGGAGGTAGTGGAGGAGGAGAGAGAGGGGTGGCTGACTCTGTACGCTGTGAATGCCAAAATGCTTATCGGTATTACAAAACACAGGTCTCAGCAAATATTGGAGCAGGGAAAGGTAAAAAAGGTAACTGATTCATCAGGCAGCCCTTCCCGCGTATGTGCCTTACCTGAGTCTTGTGCTACACTAGAAGCCTTTGATGTTGGAGCAATGCAGATAAAGCCCTAACTTCATCCCTAGCACAACGCTACTGAAATGAAAATTGTGCCAGAGAGAAACTTGCCTTGCGTTGACCCCAAGGGGCTCTGCAGCACCACCTATACTACATACTGTATTTTATTGAACTCTGGAATATGAAGCTACTAGCAAATTCCTCTAAAAGTAAGCAAAAACTTGAAACTAATGGTAAACAAACAAACAACAGCTGCTATTAATGAGTGTCTTCTTTCTATCATTGTGTTATTCCTGCCCCACAGATCACACTCTCACGGAGAGGAACTTGCCTTGTTTCATACTGTTACGTGAATTTTGTAAGTCATTGAATACAAAGGCTGAGGCCAGACACTCGGAGGAAGAAGCCAGTGGCATTGAATCAGTAGCACAAGAATGCTTTCAGTGGCTTCTCATCTCTCTGGAGCCTTAAATGCAAAACATTCAGCAATCTACTTGTTATTAGAGATGTTTTGACAACTTCAGTTTGTGTGTGCCTGAAAACATAGGACAAAAATTCCTAGGAGAATCTGGTGAAATTGTTGCAAAACAAATCAGGAAGCTTTTGGCAAGGAGATGTTTCAATCAGCCAGTGGCTTTCTGAGTGCAGAGGGCAAGACTGTGAATTCACGGTGCACAAAATACCTACACAAACACAAGCCCGTGTGCACGCAACCGTCGCCTGCAGCCCCCGGAGCTCTCCATGTCTTGCCTCTGCACGTCATCCCCTGCGCATTGGGTGCAGGACTGGTGTGCCTGTCCGTGGCATGTGGCAGGGACATAGCCAGGCTGTGCCTCCAGAAAACAGGGATCGAATGGGCAAAGTCCTCATGGGGAGGCTACCACGTTGTGTCAGCGCTTCTGCTTTTCTCCAGGACGGATTTCCTTCCTTCCCTCTTTCCTTGCGTTTGTCTTCGGTGTTCCCCACGTGCTGTCGCAGCATGCTGTACCTGCCTGCCTAGGGTGTCAGCATCCTTGTCAAATCAGCATAAATATTTGGGGAATTATTTGTTAGGGATGTGGCAGCTAAAAAAACTTTATGCTTCATGTTTTCTTGGCTAAGAAAGATTAGGGAGAGAGAAAAAAAAAAAAAAGACAAACATTTCCCCTTTGCTTTTTTTCATTGGCTGGAAGAAATGATTTTTTTGAGATTTTTTTTTTTTTTGGAATTAAAGCCTCAGAGAAGTAATATTGCATCTTCAAAACAAACTGCTGAACTCAACTTCTTTTACCAAACGCATGCAAAAATTTCCCCTTAGGATTCTCGGAGGCCCTGGAGTGCCTGCTTTGCAAAAACCTGGAGCAGAGAAGGGAGTCACTGGGGAGCAATCTCCATAGGATGCCTTTAGACAGTTTAGACAGTGTGCTTACATATATTTATAAATGTATATGTGTGTGTGTGTGTGTTTGCTTATGGTATGTTGTTGTATACAGTGAGCAGCAAGAAAAATAATACAGAGCCACGATATACAAAGAGACACTGCCCAGCTGGTAAATTCTGAAATTTAAAAAAAAAACAAAAAACCCTCTAAGACGAATCGACACAAGCCCTTAGCAGTTCTTATCGTAGGATTTGTCTTGCTGCTTAATACACGTGGTTATTCTTATGTGATTGTTTCAGATGCCTCAGGAACAGTACCCACACAGGAGCACCATGCAGACCTCGGAAGGACCCCAGGTATACAAAGTGGGGATTTATGGCTGGAGGAAGAGATGCCTCTATTTCTTTGTGCTGCTCCTAATGATTTTAATCCTGGTGAACCTTGCTATGACCATCTGGATTCTGAAGGTCATGAACTTCACAATTGTAAGTAAGGGTTACCCAGAACGGTGTGGGGAAGATGGGGGAGGGTGATGGGCATTCCTCTGAGCATAAATTCAGATACAGCTGCAATAACAGGGTGTTTTAGTTACCATGGATAGCAGTTATAATGGGGAGGAACAAATTTACCCAATGATCCTCTTTTTCTGCTGAAGAATGGCTATCAGGGATCTCTGTAGTACTGCCAAGCTGAGGAATTCCAGCATCACAAATCACATTCTTCCTACTACCAGTTGATACATATATTTATATAAATCCCCCCCCCAATTTTAATTATGAAATGTTTTTGAATTAATGAATTAGGGTATTTTTAATGGGGAATGGAGTTGAGGTTGAGACTTTCTCTTTTATGATTTCTGCTTTTCTTCATGACTGGGAAGTCAAAAAACTTGATTTGCCTTTTTCTTAAGGATAAGTTGATATTGTTACCATGACGTCATAGTTCCAGAAACTTCATGAAGAAAAATAAAATTTCCGAGGTGGCTTTCTGGGTATGATATTTAGGTGGAGCATATTCTTGTATTCAGTGTGCCGCAGATTGCGTGCATCAGCCCTGCAAGCAGAGCTTACTTGCTGACTGAGACGAACTTGCAGGGCTTGAACCAGTGAAGCCCACTGGAAAATGTTGGTCAGCAGTAATGGGAGGATGATTGCACTGGGGCAGGCTGTGCCTTTTGGGCCCAGAGTGCTCTGTGCATCATTTGAGTTATAGCTAAACTGTTTTTAAGATATTAAGGGATGCCTAGACCTTAAATTGCCTTTTTAAGAGGTGAATTACACCCTCATTGCTCTAGAAGTCAGGACATAATGAATGAGATAGATACACCCCACTTCCACTGCTAGTGAGCCTTTATATAGGGCACCTCACAGTTTTCCAGTAGCTTATTTGGCCAAGCGGAGTGAAAACGGAATGACTGGTGCTCCCTTCTTCAAAGAAATCCTTGTCCCCGTGGTTATATGGAGCTACTTTAGGAGCATTTGGGTCTTCAGGAGAGGCTAAGTTTGAGGCATTAATCCTGGATTTACTTCAGGAGAGAGTGTTGTAAGATTAATTTCCTTTAGACCAGTTTCAAGGACTTTCCCACCAGGCTCGGATGCAAGTAGCATGTTTGAAGTCTCCCACCATTTCTTTCTTTGCTTCGGATTTGTGAAGTCCTGAACAGCTGTGTCCAATGTTGTGTCATTAATGAGTTATGGGAGGCCAAGTAAACAATCTCTGATTTACTATATCCAGTAGACAAAATATTATGTCAGGGGAACATATAATGCTCATTTTTTCTAACCAGTATACTGTTGAGGTGTGCAGAAAATTGCAGTGTGTGTGTGCTTAGGGAGCAAGCAGTTATAAAGCAGTAATCCACAACCTGCCTGTAGATAGGTAACTAAAAAGTGAGCCAAATTGGAGCAATTAATTCTTAAACAGACCAGTTATTTGCTCTTGTAAAGTTGATGCTATTTTGATATGTATCTTGTGCCTGTATTGTGTTTAGTTTCATAGCTGAAACTTTGTATTTCTGAGATGTTGGAAGACCTGGTCTTGTCCTGCCCATACCAGCAGTGGTATGTTCATCAGCCCAAGCACCAAATAACAGGATTTCAGATTTTCACTTTTCAGGAATTAAACTGTTTCTTCAGAATAACATAAATTCAGTATATCAGTCCCATGCCTTCTGCTCTTTGGTGGAGGTCAGTCTCTACACACCTGTTTGGGAAGCCAGCTGAACTTCTCTGCTCCTTTTCCCTCATAGCCTACTCCTGATCCATTGCATTTTGCAGGCCATCTACAGAAGTGTCATCTCTGAGGGATAGTTACAGAAACCTCCCACTTCCAGCAGCTCTCCCCTCCCCACCAGGATATACACTGGCTTTCTCGGGGATGAGCTGATCTTATAGCTATTGTCTGATTCAGTTTCCTTAAATAGTCACTTACCCTCAGTGACTCACTGGAGATTAGTTAGTCCAGGGTAAAGTATATCTGTGTATGTTTTTGATTAATTCATATATTTTAATGTTAGTGGGTGATGAACAGCTTTTGGTGATAAAAGCATTGACCATTAATACTGAATTCTGCAATGGGAACTGTTTTATGGTTGTGGATATGACCATACCAGTCAGGATGCATCCTGCCTGATGCAGCCAGTCAGAAATAAATATAAGAACGGGGCATGTAAAATGTGATCCTTATCCTGGTATACAGCATCATCTAGATCTGAAGAGTGTTAGTTTATAAAGGACACGCCCAGATTTAAGGAGACTGTCATGATTGTTGCTGTGAAATTAGCTCTCTATGTATATACTACTCAGCCTGTGTCACAGGGGTGATTAGAGGAAGGTGCAAAGCAACTAAGAGGAGGCAATCAGGTGTTTCAGCTGACACAGGGCTTTTAATTTTTACTTTTGCTCTCCTTCCAGAGTTGCTACCTGCTGTGAGTGTTGAAAGTGTTTCTGGCCCAAGATAAGCCATTTTTCGCCTCTTATTTTCTCTTGATTTAGAGATGAGTGATACTGAAGAGTCACATTGCATGTGTCAGGTCCTGGACTCGTAACACAAAGAAAATCGATTCTCATAAAATCAAAGGTTGTCTCAAGGCAGGTGTGGACCTTCTTCCTCTGCTGTGTGATCTGCTTGTCTCCACTGAATGTGGAACAATAGGGAGACGTGTGCAGTAGCCCAGAAGACTGTGTTCAACACTGTCTTGTCTCAAGGCGAGATTTCTCATTCTTGTCATGTCTGGCAAAAGAGGAGACAGAGGAGATCTGTTATTAAGTGAGTTGGAATTACTTGGTTTTTGGTGGCAGGGAACTGATGAACTTATCTGCCTAAGCACAGTCGGTCCTTGAGAAGCACACAGCTTTGGAGTAAGCTCTGAGCACCACAGAGAAGGCCTTAGAGTTACCCTTTGGTAGAAGTTGTTGTCTTTTCCAGGTGGCTGTTTTCTGAAAGTTGTTGGTTCCTCTAAGCTGGTATAGTAGAAAACAACCAACTCTTACAGTGCAACAGCTTTTTCCAGGTTGGAACTGGTAAGACCCCACAGAGAGAGAAGTGTTCAGCTAGGCTTGATGGGAGCCTAACAGACTTGTTAGAGACTCTTAGCTTCAAAGTTATGGCTCCACTTACTCAACAGTGTTGAGACCTGTTGACCCAACCAAACAGGCTGAAGAGACAACGCAGCTCCTTGGTGGTGGCTGGAGTGTGGTCCTGCAGGGAGCAGTCACCTGAGGAGGCTGCTTTTTTTGTCAACTTTGCTGAAGTCTGTCAGGAGTAGCACATCTGATGGCATAGCTGCCCCAGCTGCATCACAAGCCCAAGCCCCTAGAGCAGCTCTGCACACCAGAGAGTCACGAGAACCTGCAGTCGCTGTGCACAGACAACTCAGCTGGTGCCCAAAGTAGTGTAGGTATGCCTTAAGGTAGAGCTAAGGTCACGTGGCCCTCTGCCTGGTCAAGCCCTGCCACACGCAGCACGTAACTGCACATATATCTTGCGGGCCTGACTCGGTACATCTCATGACTTTGGGCTCTTCCCTGCAGTCTCGCCAGCTGGTTGGGATCTCTTCTCTGTGATCCATCCTGCACCTTTCCCTGAGGCTGAGAAAATCACATCAATAAGTGAATTTTTAGAGTCAGACTTTTATCTTTAAATAACAAATGTAGAAAATTCTGAAATGAGGAGATGCAACTATGAAAAATCTTTAATTTGTTCCCGTTCTGATAAGAGAACCTGAGAAGCTTTCTGGAGTTGGAGAATGATTCAAGTAGTCAGTAACCTACAGCTGCTGCTTCACACGTCTGACTTACCCCGCCCCGTGCTTGCAGAGCAGAGGGACAGCCTGTTCTCAGGCTGCAGCCATTCAAAAAAGGAGGAGAAAATTTTTAGTTCTGTTGTGGAAAATAAATTTTTTCCAGTATCTTCCCACCCCGAGCGAGCTCTTCTCCAAGAACCTGAATCTGCTTAGCTCAACAGGACAGTCCTGGCACTTACCAGAATTTAATGAGGGCTCATTATGGCCAATAAGTACTCATTGTATTTTAATGAACACAGCATACCTGCTCAGGAAAACTCAGAGGTGTTTTGAATGCTGATAATGGGGTGCGAGAGGGGAGGTGGAGAGGAAGCAAGACAATCTCAGGGAAAAAAAAAATCTCTAAGAAATGCAGCATCTGTGAACTGTGAACTGCAGCACTCTCTTCTGCATCAAGCCCTGACCCCTTTTCCCTCCCCTTGGCACTCCCTTTTGACTCATGCTCAGGGGGACAATCTCCTGTAAAATCGAAGCATAAGCTTCCCATCCATGGCTTTTGAAAAGCAAGGCATTGCTAATTTATTTTAGGCTTTGCTTTAATATGAACATTAAAGGCTTAAACAAATTTACATGGGGCTATTCTTTTTTGCAAAGGCCTTTCAAACAGCAGTGTCATGTTCTGGTGGGGCCGGTTGGTTGGTTACTATCTGTTCTCTGGTGCAGTCATTGTCGGTTGGTTGGTTACTGTCTGTTCTCTGGCGCAGTCATTCAGTCCTCGTGTAGTATTTGATCCTGTTTGTTTGAAACGGGTTTATCAGACACAGGCTACATGAAAAACAGGCTTGGAGGGGACCTCAAGAAATCATCTGCCTGTCCCCATCTGGCTGGTTCAGATAATCAGGTCCATCTTATCCAGTTCATTTACATTAGAGTTGTACTGCTGTTGGACTGCAGGAAGCAATAAGAAGGTTGCTACCTCTAAACCTTACTTTGATTTTTAAGCCAAACCACAGAATGAATCTGGACCAAAGCCGCCAATTAGGGGTTGAAATCCAAATGCACCATGAAGGTGGCTTAACCTGAGTGAGGTAGAAACCATCATCCAGCGCTGAACTTTCTCATGATGTATAGGTAAAGGGAACTCTATTTCATTCTGTTTTTGGACAAGCCTGGTAAAAGTATGTGGTTTGTGTGTATTGGGTTTGAGGAGAAAGCACCCATACCTGTGGGCTGCCTCTGTGA